ACTTCGCGAAAAAACAAAGCAATTCGTTGTAAAATGACTCCAACATAAAACTCTACGAACTTATGTTACAACCCAATAATTCGACCCTCCCTCAGCGTTTCCCTCACACGTTTCCCTCATAGATTCCCAGAGTTGCTTCAGGTTTGCTGGATCGGTAGTTTGGGATGTTAGAGAACAGCTTCCAGATATTCCATTTGAGCTCTTCCTTTTCGGTTCGGTACATTTTCCACCAGCACCTCGTCCTTAATTCCTTTTGTCCTTTTGTCCTTAATTTCTTATGATGCTTGATGACTATGTCTGCTAGGAGAGTCTGTGCTGTGGAGACAAATCCGCGCCCAGTATTGCTTTCATATCCTTTACTGTTTCTAGGGACGATCTTCTACGAGAATATGGTCTGTTTTCCTTTGTTTCCCTCCGCAGCTTCAGGTTTCTTTTAACTTTCCCTTATCGCAAAGAGTGTACCGAAGGCTGCTATGGTGTGGGCTGTCCAGAGGTCGAGAACCTTCTCCGTTTCTTCGTTACTAGCTCTTACTTCTCTATCCATGTGAACATTTTCTAGGCTCCTCCGTTCACTACCGACATGGTCATTGGCTGCTTTCATAGTCCGCCGGCACGCCGGCTCGCCGGCCGCCGGCGGACTATGAAAGCAGCCATTCAGATNGCCGGCGGACTATGAAAGCAGCCATTCAGATCACCTGTGATAGTGACATTGAATAGTGGCATTGTCGAGGGCCACAATCAGATAGAACTTATCAATTCGCAACCAGGTCTGTCGCAGCTACGGTAATATTATTGTCTTCGGGTTCTTCTCGACTCCGCTCCTTGCTAGATGTCTCCTGAAGGGATGGAACTTAACGTCCCTACCTTCGCTAGATCAGCACTTCCCGGGACCTTACCCGATCTATCCCCCGTCCAGACTCCTACTTCAACCACTTTTGGTCAAGGTCGTTCACTCTTCGCCCTCGCATACTGTTCATATAACTCGGGTGGGGCTTCTGTGCGTCGTTTTGGATGACGTTTCAGCATTAACACTGGTCTCTTTAAGGCTTCTAACATGGCTTTTTTGTGGCAAGCTTTCTCCGTCACTCTGGGCCTGACACGTTAGTGCACGATTTATGCAGTTTCTTGTGAGGCATCCTTTTTACCTCTGTAGAATCAAACTCTCTCTCTTTTTGAATGCTTATAGATAACCATTGTTCGCATTTCGGGGTTACGCAACGCAACAAAACCTCTGCTCCTGTCCCTCATTGTGAGCCCAATAAACTCCTGAGCTGAGCTCGAGAAACGAAGCAGTGCATGATTGCCAATAGTGCTAAAAGTGAAGGGTTCGATCTGCGAAGAGTTGAGTCAGAAGTGGTTCCATCAAGAATGTACTGTCTCTCGCAACTACAACTACTCCGATGAGATGATAAAGCTCTCTAGAGAATCCGATAACTCGTAAGCACCTTGACGATGACATAATTTTTTCGATGAAATGTCTCAAAACCCCTATCTATAAGCTTCATGAATTCATATATGTATATCTTTCAGGACCCACTCTGAACTGCATTCTTTGAAATTTGAGTTCCTATTGGCGAACCACATTGTCAAAGTTAAAGCAGAACGAAAGAGTCCGGAGAATCAGGAAAACGTTGATAAAGGAAGCTGACGAAGTCCACAATACCGCAGCGTCAACAGCAGGACGTCTACACTGCTACTGTGATTACGTTTGATTGCCGCTGATCATAGCGACGGATTGTTTATGAGGGACAATAAAACAGCATACTCTTATTCATCTCGGGTCATTTCTTTGATTTCTCTGTGAAAATGTATTTAATTTATTGCCGTGCATCGAAGAATTTAATCCTGTCGAATCGTTTATAGCAAACATTTTTTTCTTTGATTGTTTGTTTACCAGATTATTTACAGCCACATAGAGATTGTAGAAACATCTCTACAGAGGTGTGTAGATGAAGTGTTGCAAGTTCCGATTGACTAGCCCTTATTGAAGGGAAGAGTAAAGCATTTACGGTGATGCCAGTGATTGTCCATAGTATATTTCAGCTGTTTGCAATACATTAGGAAGGTTGCACGAGCCTTGGCCAACTTCTTTTCTCTTCCACTCCCTCCTCCAGCACCCACTTCATTTGAACGTTTCGAACTATGGTTACTTGTTAGCAGTGGAAAGGCGCTACCACAAAGTGAATATATAACAGCAACAAACTTTACAAACAAAAATGATAATCTCAAGATGCGACTTAAATCGTTTTTCCTGTGTACCCTTCAGTAACAGTACTAAATGACTGAACTATACAGATGAATGAAAGGAGCACTTCAGCTTTCTGGGCCTTGATGAGCGGAGAGCAAGAGAATACTTCATACGCTCACATGAACATATTCATGCGGTTACCGGTGCTCAGATGCTTGCTGGACACTAGGAATGGGTCACGGACAGCAATGGCTCTGCACGAGCCCACGAATACGCGTTGAATTTTGCGAGAGCCGATAAACAATCGAAGTCAGCAGTCAGTCAATCATAGGTTCAAATTGGTTTCAGTGCATCCTTGGTTTTGAGGTACTTTATCTGAATTTCGGATTAGTGAGACAAATACCATTCAAAGGTACATAGATCACCTGTTGATCTATGTACCTTTGAATTGTTCCCTGTTCAGTCTTTATTCTACAAAGCTGACCTTTCGAGTAGAGGACGTCAACAAACTATTGAAGTGATCGACGGACAGAATAGGGTGGAGGGAGAAGAAGCTGTTCCCGTGGCAAGTCGTCAGGATCATAAGCAAATAGTTCTGAAGTGATTCTCGGTGTCGGTCTCCGCCTTTGAGGGATTCCGTCTCAAAAGCGTTCATACTTCGCTTCACATCGGAATTACATACTCACGTGATCGCCCTTGCAGCGAATTCGTGAATCGCAAGTTGCCGACTAGTGAATAACGACCTCGACTAGTGAATCACGTAAGGCTGAGAATGGAAACAAGGCCTAGTTTTCACTGAGGGGCTATATTTGAAATATTTAAAAGCATATGCCTTGAAAAATTGGAGTGCAATGCAAACGTGTAATTTGGATCGGTACGGGGTAAAAGGTGATTAGTACCTAGTGTATTGAGTTTACTCACATTAAGGGCCGCACAACAGGAGAACTTTAATTCACAACCACGTTGATCACGAATTTCCTGTAGAGCTCCACATTGTGGTCCGGGTTCTTTTATCAATTCCAAGTGTAGCTTTCAGATTTGAAACGAAATTCTCACTTGAAACGGAGAGTGTGTCTTAAAGTAGAGCTTTTAGG